GAATTGCAGGGTGCATTTATGGAGCGCCACAGGGCTAGCTGTATTTAAACATGTTTATTAAGAATCCATCAGAATGGCTGTATTACACATCCAATTTCCGACACTAACTTGAGACACGTTGCTAACTCCAGTGAAAGCAGGGAAATAATTCCACCGTATCAAGAATAACTGGCAGTACACTCAAACAGGGAACTTGCAAATGAGTAGACCTCCAGCAAAACAAACTATAGATAATTGAAGGGAAAGAAAATCATGAAATTAGTAGCAGAAAGATTTTTATGTGACCATAGCCATGAAACTAGGTAAGAGCCTATGCTCTTAAGAATAAGAATTGATTTTCACTTCCAGAGATAGAAGTTATTTGCAAACAAGACAGGGAAAAATTCTCTAACTGCCTCTGCAGATACTCTTTGGTTCTCCCTTGCTGGAAACACCAGTAGTATTCAACTCTAACATTATGGTATTTTGCTATTAAGGGCTTGAGAGGAGCTTGTTTTGTTTGAACTATTCAATTTCATGCTGACAGCTTCTGTGCAAGCCTTCTGCAGGACAAGTAGTTCCAGCAAGAAGTTTCAGCAAGACCTACAGAAACCAAGCAAACCTCCAGAGCTGGCAGAAAATGGCCGTCCTCCAGACTCTCGGTAGATACTTCTGTTACTGAATCAGTTGTGCTTTGGAATGAAGAGGATACAAGTTGAGAGAGAAGAAACTAGTAAGATGTGCACCACAGACTGCAATAAAGCTTACAGGGGAACACAACCAGCTCAATCCACCACTTCAAAAATTGCTATAGAAATACAATTTTAAAAGTGCTTACAATTTCATTACCAAAGATCCCATATAACATGCTACTGAACTATCATATTGTTTAAGTAACACAAGTCATCATGTATTACAGCTTTCTGAACTTCACATGTGCTTAAACAAAGCTGGGGATCTGGAGGGGTTTTATTACACCTCCCACGTTGTTAGTCCTGTTAGGGCTTCGTGAAGTGATTCCATTCTCAGAGAAGTTGACAACAACAATAAATTATATATGATCATGCATAACATTATGATCACAGAAGACCTTCCAAGAAAAACAAAGTCAACTAGCATATCAAATGACACACTTTGTCATGTTGGGTTTGGCTGCTCCATTACACGTGTTGAAAAATGTACCAAAACACAAGTAGGCGAAGAGCATCCTTCCATCGCTGCTAACTGCAATACTTTCTTTTCAGAAGGAATGGAGCACAAAAGAGGGCATGCAAATCAACCAAGGACACTGAGTCAGGGGAACAGGGTCTGCTTTCAAGAAAAAAAATTAAACCCTTTACTCCTGTCAGTTTATCTATGTTGAAAACAACCTCATCGCCATTTGCTCTCATGCCAACACTGTAAAGACCAAAATCCAAGCTAAAGATGATGCTACCTGTGAATGAAGCATAGCTTTTTTGGGAGAATTGTCCTTACTGCAAGTACAAAAGGAAGGAACTTTCTCTACCTCCTCCCTCTGCCAGCACCCTCATCCAAGTTTGACCAAAGCTCTGTGATCTATGCACAAGACTTCTGTCCTGCATCCTAACACTGGGAAGCCATGAAATTTCTTCACGCCCCAAATGTAAAATGAAGCAATTTCAGTGTACATGCGCCAGAGTAGTTAACGACGCTGGGCACTACCTTTTGTAATACATTTGAAAAAGCTACCATTACACAATGCCAATTGCAAAATGCAACACAGTAAAATGTAAAAAAATCTTAGTAATTAGTGGCTTAGCTTCACATTAAATTATCTTTTCTGGACAGCAAACGAAAGTGCGAGAATCGAGCATTGCTGTTTAAAAGGGAGTCATCATTATGAAGCAACCCAAATGGCCAAAAAATACAGCATATTTGTCGTGCTCCATTTTCAAGCTTCTAAACAGAGAAGTTGTAAGAATGAACACATCTTCAGAATATGCATGTTATTAGAAGACCCAGCAGGACAGGAAAAATCCAGGCATCAAACCACCTTTAGTGAACCTGAGCCAGAAGGAGACTTATTTCTTCCACCTGCCAGCAGAGACAAACAGCAGGATAAGCATCTGCCTTGCCTGAAGTTCAGCATCCTACTGCATCCCAGCTGTATCAAGTACCCACAGGACTGAACAAGCAAAACAGAGTTTTATGTCATTTACATATTTTCGTAATGGCAAAGAATGGTTTCAGGACCATTCCTTTGCTGTCAAAAGGCTCATTATTTCAGCACCCTTCTGGCTGCACGAGGGAGCCTGGATACGATTCTCCTTAGTGCTTTGTGCTTCGAGATCCGTATTTATTTGCTCAGCAGCACACAATAGTCCTCCCTAACAATCACAGACTCTGCTTGCTCCCTCAATGGTATATCAAGCCTGGAGTGCTAAACATGCAACACATGGCACTGCAGTGCACAACTCCTAGGCAAGTCTATTTTTAACAAGCTGTGTGTGGTCTTCATAATCTGCACAACCTTTTCTTGCTAATGCACTTCCTTCCAATACAGGACAAAAAGATCTAAGAATCTTTTGTATTTTAAACCAAGCTGAAAGTATTTCAAAGGGAAATAACTAATCCTTTCCTTCACTGGTTTGCTGTGCTCCTTTATGTGAGGATCAAGTTGCTTTCTATTACATCAATCCAGTTCCTGGACAAAGTGCAAATAATTAGCCATTTCCTTCTAGTTGCAAAGTTGGAACCAACCCTGTTTTCCTACATAGGACTGGGATTTTATATAAAACTCTGAGAAAGCTAGGATTTCTAACTATTTAAACTGCTATCAAATAAATCCCCCTATTCAGCTTCTAAAAAAATAAAATCCCTTATTGAGGTTTTTTTTGAAGCAAGTTAAGATTTTCCTTTCACCCTAGCTTCCAAAGAAGAATTTTTAGTATGAGAGTAAGCATAAGTCACGCAGAAGTCTCACCCAAATTTCAGCTGTCAGGGAAAAGGTGGAATGCAGTAAGGAACTGTCCTGGTTTCGGCAGGGACAGAGTTAATTTCCTTCCTAGTAGCTGGTACAGTGCTGTGTTCTGGATTTAGAACAAAGTTGATAACACACCAATGTTTTAGTTGTTGCTAGGTAATGCTTACACTAGTCAAGGACTTTTTAGTTTCCCATGCTCTGCCGACTGAGAAGGCTGGAGGTGCACAAGAAGCTGGGAGGGGGCACAGCCAGGACAGCTGACCCAAACTGGCCAAAGGGACATTCCATACCATGTGACGTCATGCTCAGTATATAAAAGCTGGGGGAAGAAGAAGGAAGGGGGAGGATGTTCAGAGTGATGGTGTTTGTCTTCCCAAGTAACCATTATGCGTGATAGAGCCCTGCTTTCCTGGACATGGCTGAACACCTGCCTGCCCATGGGAAGGAGTGAATGAATTCCTTGTTTTGCTTTGCTTGCTTGCGCAGCTTTTGCTTTCCCTATTAAACTGTCTTTATCTCAACCCACGAGTTTTCTCACTTTTCCCCTTCCGATTCTCTCCCCCATCCCACTGGGGGGGAGTAAGCGAGCGGCTGTGTGGTGCTTAGCTGCCGGCTGAGGTTAAACCACGACAGGAACAAATGTTTCTACAAACGCCTTTTCAGTCTGAAGTTATTGCAGAAAACATTTAGAAATAAATAAATACAATATACTGTGGTATATGGGCACTTATGGCACACATCCACAGATACGTAATATCCACAATGACATACTGTATTTATGCACAGTCTTACAATGAGTTCTGAGCTCTCCTTGCCTGGATCATCTTTAATATTCAAAATTTCGAATCAGTTTTAAATAGTTTCCATATTTTTAATAACATGAAAGAACAGTTACTTATTTTACCATAACTGCTTTTCCCTCCCAAGATGTATTATTCCCATGGATTCCATCTCATGCATTCACAAGTGCTGCTCAAGAAATACTGCATTCTTTTGGCAAACACCGTTGGCTCCAGCCTGAGAGCATGCAGACACGCACAACCCTGCTGCTGGCAGAGCAGGATCTATGGGTACTAAGACTTCACAGGCGCAGAAGGAGGACAAAGGGGTGTGAGATTTACGTGGACAGAGCATCTTGAAGAGCCACTGTTACCAGTACGCCACAGATTCCCTGCACGGCTGACAAAGAAATGGCAGTAAGGTTCACCTGGTCCTTCACACCTGGAGGTGGATCTACTTTGAACTTCTCCAATTTCTCTAGGATCTGTGAGTCTTCCAACTGATTTGAATTTAAGCCTAAAACTGCCTCTTGCTGGAGAGCAATCTAACTGTAAACCAAAGCAGCAGTGAATGATGGCTGGTGAGAAAAAGTACTGTATAAATCAGGGTGCCCGCTGCTGTCTTCACTGATGAAGACATGAAGTCTGCAGGCGTGGACCCAAGGAAGGGTTTCAAGAAAGCCAGACTTTGTCTGCATTTCTGTCTTTTCCTGTTCAGTTAGGCCTCTGAATATCTGGCTGCTGTTCAGATGATGACGCTTACTAAAACAAATGGTCTTCTAGAAGCAGTGCTGTCCTGAGTGAAAGGGAGGAAGTCCCTTACATCATGTCACAGTGCCTGACAAGCAGTACTACAGCAAAAGCCCTACACCTGGAAGCCACATACTGAGGAGAAGCACTTGAAGGAAGAGTGATTTTTAGATTTAAGCAATATTACTGATATTTATTTCACTGCTGGTAGCAGCAGATCAGAGAGATACATTTTAATCTACTGCTGCCATTCAAGTGCAGAGTCTGAGCAGAATCTAGCATCATGATCGCCATGTTTCATTTTCAGAGGCTTTTGTCTCAGCTCTGAAGAAGAATTTAGTTGAACAGTAGTTGCAGTAGCTGATGCTTTTTGAATAGCAACACAAAAGAACTAAAAGTTAAGCTGTAGCTCACAGGAGTTCTTGAGGTTGGAGCCTAGTCAGATCTGCAGCATTTTTCCCCCCTGGATCTGACTCGTTTCTCACTGAATGCTCCAGGATGAACTGTTTAAGGCTATAAATCTCTTTCATTTTTGATTTCTTTTAAAAAAGGAATGACAAGTTTACCACCTGTACAGAATATCTTCTTTTCTACTGTCTCCGTATATGTTCAGCATTTGATATGCAGTAGAAAAAATGACAGCACAAAGAGCTGAATGTCAAGAACTTTGCCTCAGCCATAAAAAAAAAATGGGTACATGGAAATCCTAAGAGGTCTTGCTCTTTTCTAAAGTTGGTAGATATAAAAATAATTTAGTAATTAACAATAATATTACCACAAGTTGTGGGAAAGGTGCCATTTTTCAGCCACTGGCACTACAAAAGAAATGAGGGAAATTGGGTCCTTTATGTCTTCTTTGTCACCAACTCAAGTAACCCCTCTAATTGATAAGATGTGTATTTATGTTAAGATACAGGACGTACTGTAGACATTTCGTATACACAGCAGGTAGAAGAAGTCAGAATGCTTGTGATAATATGAACTGTCTGTTTTTGTTATAATGAATAAGAGATTTTTTTCCCCCACTTTTTATCTGTTTAATTTAGTATTTTTAATTTTTCTTTCTTCCAGGAGAGACTGCTATGGTAATACCTTCAAATACAGACATGAATGGGGAATCTGCACAAAGCCTGTATACCTCAGAGCAGGCAATTTCTCTTGTATCTCCAAGTGGTTTTCATTCTAGTAAACCAGACAGAATTAACGTGCAGACCTGAAATAAGGTAGTCTATGCTGCAATTCTACAAACTACTGCACTTTCATCCTCATCCCACTAAACTGTGTACTTAAGACACAGGAGGGAAGAAAACAATTTTTACCAGGTACATTTGGTGTATGTTTCAAAAATACTACAAAGGACATGCTGAGAGCAAAACCCGCATATACCAGTTGGTCATCGATTGACTGGGAGTCACTATTTTATTACAGTTATGAAAAAGGTAATGCAATGCTATAATGCACCACACAGTTCTAAATTCAAGACGGACACTGAGGCAATAATGCAGCTATACCAAGATGGCATATAATTCTGTTCAGGGAAGACTAACTCAAATAAGACCTGGTATGGAGAAAAGCTACTTGGATGACTGGGAAGTGGAGAAACCATCTTATAAAAAGCCCCCTAGAGACTTGTTTAGAATTGGAAGGACAAGACTGTACCAATAAGAAACAGGTAGGAAAAGAATGACAACCTAAAATAAGGTATGCATCTATGGGTTAGGAGCTGCCTGTCTCAGCCCATGCTCATTCATGGCATGACTCCTAACACGCTGACACTTCACTTAAGTCTGTTGGCATAGACTATGCACAGGGAAGACACGTTCTAAGCCTATCCGTACACCTGCAGTCAGAGGTTAGCCTCCAATGACAAAACGTAACTCACAGCAGGAAGATGAGAGGTAGCTGTTAACTACATCCGACTGTCTGCTTTGCCTTTAAGTGGATTTGAATCTCACAGTCAGACGCCACATCTCAGCTGAGCGGGAAGCAGTAACTGTCAAGAAGTGGACTTCACATCCGCCCAGCACCAAGTGCGTGCTTAGCTATGTGATGACAGGCTTTGTCCACCTTCATTTACTTTACAAATGTTCAGCTCCTGCCCAAGTGCACACTAGTGCACTCGTACACACTTGCACACACTTACACAGTGTACACACATATTCAAGGGAGGTCAGAATGAAGTTTAAGTTCAAGAGTATGCTAAACAGTCAGTACATCAATGGCATAATGATAAATATGCAAGTTGATCAAGAACAACTTGCAGGGATTAAAATCAGAGTGTGGGATTCACTGGACAGAGTAATGGTTTTTTAACACTAAATGGAGCAGTTAAAAGTACTTTATAAAATATAGAACAGAAAACATGTATACAGTGTTTCAGAAAAAAGTGAACATCTCACTGAAATCCTGCTGGTCAGCTCTGAGTATTACCCTCAATTCATGCTGGACCATCTCTTGGAGAAGCAGATAGTTTGTGATTAAGGAACTTAAAAGAATTGTGAAATATGATATGTATTGTACCCTCGTATCCTCACAGCACAGAAAATTCAGCATGTAGCTCAACAGACCCGGAAAAGTTATATGGGCATAGGTCACCTTTACTGGCACCACAGCAATGTGGTGTGGATTACTGGTATTTAGACTAACCAAGGAATGAAAACTCTTTCATCAACAGGACTAGGGATACAGACAGAAGTGAACAAAAAAATCAAACCCATGGACTTTTAAAAGAAAAAACCACAATACTTGCCCAAGAAAACAGTCTGTGTCATTCATCCACTGGTTTATGAACTGTGCAGTGATGGGCTCAGGATTGTGTGGAAATCTGATGTTCTCTAAGGTGTGCAGAAGTAGGTCAGGATTGTAGTAGAGTGCAGCTATGGCAACCTGAAGACACATGGTACGAAGCTCACTTGTTTTAACTCCTCTAGTTAACCGCTCCAGAACAGCCTCCACAAAGAGTGGAATACACTGGGCATACAAATATAAAGGAGAAGGAAAAAAAGAAAAAAAAGAACAAAAAAACAGGCATTATACATGTTGCCAGATTATACAAAAGTTTGAAATACTTTTATCAGAATTAATCTCCAGAGATAACTGAAGTCTAGGTATAACCTAGGAATGCATTCCATTCACTCCCTAGCATAAAAGCATTTTAAGCCTCTGATTACATGCTTATAAATCTTCCCCAAAACAGTTATTCTCTGAGCTAAAAATTGCCGATGTTATTCTCAGCACAGAGGAGAATATTTGGGGCCATTTGGTGGAATTGTTCTAGCGTGTATAAAAGGTTTAGAAAAGAACTCAAAGACATTCTCATCTTTGAATAAAGATATCCAACAATTTCAAAACTAACAGGCATTAAAAATGAAATTACCTAAATCTGCAAGAAAAAGAAGTTTTTCCTAATAAATGTAAAGTGATGTTAAATTTCTTGTAGAAGTTTGACATGAGTGAATTTATTCAGATAAAAGCAAGTACGCACAAATTTCTACATAATGAAATAAACATCTACATATATTTCAATGTGCAGGCTTATGCTTTATAATAATTTGGGAAGCATTATGAATGTTTTAGTTTATGAGTTCAGTTCAGTGTGCAATCATTTTAATTCAGAGTTGTGGAGCTCAGTTAAGCCCCACCACATACTTATTTCAATGCAAATGCATACAATTCACTTTAATCCCTTCCAGATTTCTTTTAAAAATAAAATCTTTCAGGGAACATTCTTATCTTCAATGACTTCAGATTTACATTAGTAAAGTTATATTGGTTTCAGTGAAATTAATTGAAAAATTATCACTGAAGTCCATGGATTGCACTGTGGCAACATCAAATATGATATTTTAAAGTAATTTAGGCTGGAGCGTTATGTAAAACATGAGACCAGAATTTAGCCCTTAATAGGAAAAAGACTACTATCTAAAAGTGTGTTCTAAGAAACTCTGGAAAATTGTGATTATGTTTTCCCAGCAACCACAATCCAGCCACGCTAAAAATTCTTCATTTCCAAATGCACTGAGTAATTCCGAATATTAAAAAGGACCAAGTTCATATTGCTTGGAGAAACAACTTCAGGAGTTGGATATGTATAGTTAACCTCTCAGCCACAATAGTTTTAACAATGTGTGTTTTGCATCAAAAGGGAAATCCTATTAGGAGAAACCAAAAAAAAGATAATCCTGCACATCATACTATATCCTTATCGTTCAGTCTATATTCATTTTCCGGTCATGCCCACTAATATAGAAGAAAAAAAAAGAAAAAAAGAAAAAAAAATCAATCTTACAAACTCTCGTGAGCTCATTTACTTCTTTCTGTATTTCTCCCCATTCCTACATTTCACATTTCCCTCAAATTCTCTAATTCCAACTGCTTTTCTCAGGAATCATACATGTATCATTGGAAACCAGTAAAAGAGAAAAGCTGTTCAATATATATCACCTGGTCAATACCCCGTCCTTTGCATTGAAGAACAATTACTTCTAGGAGTTTGGCTGCATGGCACTCTGCATCTTCTCCTGCATCTCCTGTTAATACCTAACAACCAGAATGACAATTTAGTTTATCAGTATTAATCACTGACAACTTTGAAAGCAAGTGCTCCTGTACCTGCATACATCAAAAAACCTCTACATGGCATATACATATCTATCCATGCTATGTTTTGTGAGGAATTAAGACATATAAAAAAACATCTCTACACGACATAAACAAGGATAAGTGACTAAAGATGAATTTAAAAATTTAGAAGAAATTGCTATAGCTCTTTATGAATGTTAGTATTCTTTATACGTCACCGCTTTCCCTTTTTTAAAGGAAATGTTACTTACAAGAATCATTGATGTTTTCCACATTCTGTTTCCATTTTTTTACTTCAATTCTAACAGACACTGGCAGATTAACAGCCTGGCAAAACGAAGTCCTATCTCTAGGCTAGTTTCTGATTAAAAACAAGATGTATGCAATGGCACTCTATGTATATGCACATACATGTGAAACTGCTTCTTCTCAGTACATTTCAACCCTATGGTCAATGTCAATCAAACCTGACAAAGAAGCAGAATTCTCAAACACATTCGATTTCTGTAAGTTTCTTAAAAATAAGCAGGCAGCTAGATGCCTAACACTCTATAATGCCCAAAATCAGAGAAAGGCTGCAGCGTGATCTCATACTTTATTATACACGAGAGAATCAGCATAAAAGAGAAACATTATAGATGTAAGAAGAACTTCAAATGAGTTCACACCTTAGCTGACAACTGAAGAATCCAATCGCAAGATACACAACCCAAGGAAATCAGGCTTCATTAATTCCTCTACTTACCAAAATAGTTGTTCATAGAAGAGAGTCAAGACGAACAGCAACTTTCTCCCACACAGATTTGCGCATGTAATTTTTTAAAAAGTATGTCACTTAAAAAGTGTGAAGGTGCTATGTGTACTCGGAACTGAGCCGAGACCAAATTTCATTTTGTTCTGAAATGACTAGCCACCACCTGGCATTTTCAGGTCACTCCGCTAATCTGATTGTTAAGTACCAATGATAAGCACAACAGTAAGAATCAGAAGCCTTACCTTTTTACACATAGCATAAATGATTTCTAAATGCTTTGGGTTAGACAGTAAAGTATCAGTGTCAATGGTCACATAATTATGCAAGAGAGGCATCATATCTGCAGAACAGGGAGAGCAAAAGAGAAAAAAATTACAAACTAATCCATGCAAGTGCTAACCAGTAAGACTGTAGTCCTATAATGGGTTTCATTAGCTCAGATTCTTGGATATGGTTGGAAATTAAAACTCCACAAAAGCCTATTCTAGCAGAATTCTTCACCAAATGCACCATGCAGGGTGCATTCTCAGAAGAGGAAACAGAATAGGATTACATTTTCATTAATTAATTTGTAGTTTCACGTTAACTTTGTATATTTCAGCTTTCTTTGAGATCAGGACCTCTGACAATAACTGATCACACTGACAGATTTGAACATGCTTCTCCTACTTATATATGCTCCTGTTATACTCCCACACTAAACAGACGGTCAGGGCATGACTCAAATACATGATCATTTTAAACCAAGAAACTAAATGGAAGCGACCCTTATTAAAGTGGGTTTTAGAGATGAATTCCCAAACAGCGGAAACACCAACAGAAGTGATCAAACCTGCAAAGTACTCAAAGCAATCCTGCTGGAAAACCTCATACAGAACGCCTAAAAGCTGCCACATTTGAGGTGAAATCATCTGGCACGTCAAGCTGTAGGCCAAGGAAAGAATTTCTTCGTAAAACTCTGGAAAGGAGAAACAATCTGAGGTGGGGTGCTTTAAAAAATAAATTTAGCTTGCAAATACCTTGAAATCTGAAACCAAGCTCCGAGTCATATCACAACCAGAAGACAGCAATTTACTGAAAAATATTTTTATTTTCTCAACCCTGTGTTTTTTGCACACAAAACTGTGTGCAGAGTACTGATAAAGCAGCAATTTAACTGCAGACCATGTCTATAAAATACTAATGTAATTGTAGACATTGTCCTTTAACACAGCTAGCTAGAACTATAATCAGAACTGCATCTTCTGCTTTTGAGTCTGACCTCCAAAACACAATAACCAGCCTGACTAATGTACAAGAGAAGATCAGGAGAAACAAATCATAACTGAAAATTAATGTCTTTTTTTCTTTAAAGAAGCACACAAAAAAAAGATGGAGTTCTGTTCAGGAAGATAGTATTGTTTGCAATAATTAATTTAAGAATTTTTTATGTAAGAACATGTAATGTTTTTCTAAAAATTGTCTCTAAAACATACCAATAACGTGTTTCTGCAAAACGAGGCCAATGATCTGTAAACAAATGCTCTCGAGCTGTTGAGTTATCTGAAATAGAAACATAAAGCAGTTTATTTAAAAACTTAGAAATACAGCAATTTAATCAATGTATTTGACTAATTCAGCCTGAGAAGTTCTTCAAAGCAAAAAGGCTTTTATCACTTTTTAAATGCTGCCTTAGCGATTACAGTATTATGAAATAAGGTCTCACTGATATAAGTACTCAAATTTTCGATAGAGGATTGCTTTAAAACTTGTCTCTTACAGCATTTTTCTTTATTTTAAAAAAATCTTACTGTATGGTTATTCTACAGATCCTATCAAAAACTGTTATCTGTTGTCTCGTCCGGATATGAAGTAACACTGTAGTGTTTGAGATAAAGCCTCTGTCCAAAATCTTTGAAGTAGAATGGGTTAAAAGGAAGAAAGGAAGAGGTGCTTTTGCCTAGGGTCTATGGAGAGCTTCCCAGAGTAGGCTCAGCAAAAGGAACACAAGCAGAAATTGGGAGCATACAACTGTGTTGAAGTCAGGATTCAGCCTTGCCATGTTGGACAGAGAGACTACATTTATGAATTAAACTAAATTACAAGGAGAACTATATGGCCACGTTATAAGTCTAATTAAAACCAGCAAATACAGACATTTCGTGTTATTACCACTGGTTATTCATTACAGACATAATCTCGCAGGATGTGAGGCTTTCTGGGCTTGTTCTAGCAACGGGATTAAGTATGTGACCACAGATTCATCCACTTACCTTCAGACACTTGACTCAAAAGTTATCATCCCCTAAACTCCCTCCATACTTAATGGTGAAAGGGAAAGGAATTGCTAAGGAGTTTTCAGCCTCATATATCCTTTCTATATCATTTATATCACTTCTAAAATGATTTAAGATCCTGAGATGAAGAGCACTCTGCACAATATTTTACTTTGTGCTTCACACAACAGAAAAACAAACTGCTAAGTTTATACCAAAAATACCCCAACCCCAAAGGTTTTCGTAGGCTAAAACCTGAAGATCCACTTCAGACTATCATTCCTGATGCTCAGCTTAGCTAACAGATTTCATTTTAGCTTTCAAAAGATGCAGGCGATTATTGTAAAGGAATGAAAGATGTTTTGAAATCCAAAGGAACACAATGGTCTTACAAGAAAATAATTAGTATTTTAATTAATGTATTTTTAAAATTATAAGCTTCATAAAAATATTTCATACTGGCAATGAAACATTCTCATTGTAAATCAAGGAAACAAAACAATCTAGGACAAAGCACTTTTATGCCAACTGAGCTTGAAGTTACTGACTGACTTTGCCTCTCTGGTCAGTCACTGAACTCCTTCCTACTTCGATCAGCCCAGGTGGTATGAGCAGAAAGAATCTCTTTCTTCCCTGAATATGTGAAATATAGACTTACATTGCACCACAACTGGGAGACCAATTCCTAGGAATTCTATCCAAGAAATGGCTGGGTAAACAACAAAATATGAGTCACCATTGTAAAAAATTAGCCTTATGCAAAATATTTCTCCCTAAAATCTATTTTAACAGTCTGTAATACAATTATCCGATGAAGTGTTTACCACAATAAGGGCTAAGGATTTTACCCTCAGGAAATAAATTCCCCTCGAAGTTGAGAGCTAAACAATTAAGAAATCACAAAAGTAAACTGGGCTTTAAATTCAAATTTGTCAGAGATCACTTGGTACTAATTCACCATCCTGCTGTAATAAATGCACATTCATGTCAACTCAAGTGATGCAACATACATAGAAGCGCTTGTTGTCACGAATGAAAGGCATGAGGGAACAGCAGAAAAGACGTATAAAAGAAAATCTCACCTCCTTGTGATCTTCCACAACTGTCAGGATAGTGTCAATTGTGTGCAAGATGCCCATGGCCATAACTGTTTTGTCCTCTACTTCCTCATATTCCTCACTCTGAAGTACTTTACCAAATATTTCAGCCTATGAAAAAAAACCAACCAACTTGACATTCAAGAGCAAACTCACATTTCTAATTTGCCATGCAAAACCAAGACAGCTAATGCAACAGCAGCAAAGCCTTACCTGTAAGAGCTGTCAGCACTGAAAAATATGGTCCTTACTTTTGAAAGGGGAATATAGAAAATTAAAAACTCCTCTTTTTTTGAGAAGTCTGGCTATGTTAAGTCACTTGAAATGTTAAATAGTTAGAGCTTGGCTCATTAAAACCAGTGACAAAATTCAGTATCTTTGAAAAACCTATAGGTTTTAAAGATGTTTCATACAGAAAAAAAAAATGTTGTGAATACTATAGGTGGACCTTTATAAAGATTACTTTAAACAGTGTGCACTTCAAACGAAGTTCATTAAATGTTTACCAAACTAGGCATGTGCTTCTGACTGGACTGTTATTTTACTATTGTCTCTTACCAGGTGTTGAGTCATGTCAACGGCGATAGTAGCTACTTCCTGACTGTACTCACAGATCATCTTCTGGATTACATTAGTAAGATCATCATTTTCCGTCTCTCTAACAATGTGCAAGAGCTCTTGCATAACTGGCCTTACATAAGGCTTCACATATTCCTTGGCTAAAAAAACAATTGAAACTAGGTGAAATCAACTATCCATAAACACAAATATACAGTATCTCAAAACTATTAGGTAACTGACTACTCTTGAACAAAGTAATTTTTTAAAGTTTAATTCACTAAAAAAAAAGCCAAAAAATCTACCCAAGGCACTTTTACAGCCCATCACTAGTACACTAACAAAGTAAATAAATTCTACATTTACCACATTCAATACTGAAACACCACCTACAACAAAAATCCACTGTTTTGGGGGAATACATGTCCTCATACATAGGCAGCATTCGTTCTTAAACATACACACTATCTCACTTCACTAAAGAAAAACAAAGACAGGTGCTATTTGCTTTATTAAAAGAAATATGTTGATTCTCACTTCTTTTGTGCAGACACCTGCCATAAAAACTTGAAGTCAGAATTCTGGGATGTGTACAGTAACTAATGAGCAAGTGAAGCTGTCTAAACATGATGAAATGTTCTGAAATCTATGTCTTTAAATGGTAGAAATGTTTAGATAAATCTGCACCAACCTCATCTCTACAAAAAAAAAGAATCATCATCAGTGCATACAACGGATGAATCACTGTAGCATACCTTGCTCTTGGTTGCTTATTAATGTCTGAAGAGCTATGGCTGCTTCTACTTTGACAGGCATTTCCTTATCATCAATCAGGCTCTTCTTTGCCAACTCTACTGCATTCCTCAAGTTTAGCTCATTGTGAAATTTCAAAGCACTGAATGAATGAAGTACCCAACAGGACTGCATGACAAAAAGAAAAGCAAGTTAGGGAGTATTGCAATTTTTAGCATTTTTTAACTGATTCAAAAACAATGCTAACTATCTCTCTGTTTGCATGTATTGCCTTTTTTTCCCTTAATTATGGTGTATTCATACAGTAAATGTAACACAGCTTTTGCACTCGAGCAGTTCTTTATTTTCCTTTCCCCAATTCCAATAAATTCAGTATGCACATAATTGGCATTCATAGTTTTGGTCCTTCTGGGGGAAAAAAAATCAGAACAGAAATTAAACAAAATTAACTGTTTGTTTATGACTGATATGGGCACTTGGGGATTTTGTTCAAGCTACACTCAAACTGACGTTATCTACTCTGTGGAAATCCTACCTATTCTTCACAGCCATCCAACCACTCTAGTTATTGAGATCTGCTAAGGAAAAATGGTCACAAAAGGGCCACAACCACTGCTCAAATTCTCCAGTCTGATCAAAGAGGTAAACAATAATATGACACAGACTTTCCATCAATTCATTTAGCTGACAAATAATTTTTTAAATCAAAATACTGAAAAATTACTGTACAAGCTCGTTATTTGAAATTTTGCTATGTATTTGCTTTATTTCTTTCATTAACATTCAGAATGAAGTCAAACTACAAAGGAAAGAATCATGGCAAATACTGAAATTGATATAACTCGTGAACTTACTCTAGCTCTGAGGTACCCCAGGTTAGACATGAACAATGGAAACACATGATTCTGTAACATCAGCTCCATCTGATCCTTGAAGACACTCTTCTGTTGGTGTAAATGCAAATTAATTTCGGAGACCATTCATTTTACATACTTCATTCTAGCCAGTAATCCATTTCAACTCTCAACCATGGGAAATACAATGACTTGTCTATGCAATAAAGGTATTCGCTCACAAGGAGAACTGGATCTCGTACCCTGAACTAAACAAACCTCATAAGCATAGCAAGTTCAAAACCAGATAAGTAAAAGACCTGTACATATAATATTCAACTCTACATTATATTCAACTCTATCTGTGCTGCCAAACAACTGTAAACCGGAATTTTCATTTTCTTTAAGGCAATTGATTCCAGCTGATTTTTCTTAAAAATTAATTAGGGTCAATAACCTAGTACCTCCATTCTTCTTACAAAGGAGTACATACATACCTGAAGATAAATATAAGCTTAGTATGAAACAGATCTGAGTTTCAAATGACCTACTGCTACTATAAGCATCAAAACTAATTATTTTACACACTACAACAATAACTCACATCTTTTTTTGTGTTTATTAAGGGACTAACATAATTCCTTTGTGATAGAAATCTCCTTGGCTGGAGAACGATATTCGATGAAAATTATCCTTCATTATTCCAACCTTGGCAAATCCTAAGATATTCACAGGAAGCCAGGACCACCAGCATGGAGACTTGGGACTTTCCTAGCACCTATAGCCCCAGGATACTAGAAAAGATATATGCTGGGGACCGTGTTACCATCTAAAGGAATGATTCAGTGGCTAAGATAGGCAGAGGGTGAAAGGGGACATTCAATACAAAATGTATCTTAGGTGATCACACTTCTACTTCACCGATGCATACATCATTTTTCCCACACTGATTCCCCAACCTTCAGAGAGGCAGATGAAGAACTCAGCAGAGAAAAAACACAGAGAAGGGAAAAGAATTTTCCCTTGTGCACACAGGTCAGAGGTTTGCATGCATTGAACTGGAGCCGCTGTGGAGAGCCAGGTGGCTAAGGCAGGATCATTGTGTCCACGAGCTCCTTACAATCTGTATCTCAGCCAGCTCACCAGCCAGAAAGCACTTACAAATCGAGTATTTTATGCACACACAGTTCATTAATTTTTCAATCTGCCAAATCCCAAACACAAGAAATTCAGAGTTGGGAGGAGTCTGCAGTGTTTGGGGATTATTACTCTTTTATAAAGTATGTTATAACTTCACGTTTCAGGACTGAAAATTTCAAATCAGAGCAGTATACTGGAATAAATCCCTTCCTTTTTCCTCAGGGATAAATGAGTTTAGAAACCCCCTGGTCAATATGAAAGGCTCCTCACAACATGACCAATGTCCTCCTCTTTCACTGTTATACTCCAGCATTTACAATCCAACATAATCTACAAAAATTCTGCAAAAGTTACTGATGTTTCAGGATTTCAGGTCATGGATCGGTGCATTGGTAAAAAATTGATGGTAAATGTTGGTAAGATGTTGCTTGTCACATGAAGACACATCTTGTACAGAGAGACAACTCACATAAAATAAAACATATCACTTTTAAAAGGAAGCCTCCAGCACAAGGCCGCCATTCTCATGCTAAGAGGTAAGTTAGAATGCTAAGAGCATTCTCATGCTAAGGTAACTTTTTGGCAGTTACTTTTGACATGGAGAGAGGGCATACTTTGGACTCCACTGTCTACAAAAGCAAGGGAAACTGTAATCAATATTACATTAGAGAGCAACAGAGTGGATTAAATGTGTATTCAAATTCCAGAAAAATACTCAAAATTCTGAAGATGCTGCCTATAAAAAATGGGGGAAGGAGAGAAACTCTGTGCTCTTTCCAATTATTTTCAAAACTTCCAACTCGCTGATGAAATAAGACTTAAAGCCACACATTGCAGGGTAAGAAAGCTGGAAAGCTAGACAAAACATTCCTGCAACATGTTAAGTAAACATTTTTCTGGAATCAGAAGCCCACAATAGTGCAGGCTGTTGGGGGGTTTGCTAAAGAATCATAGGCAATGTTATTGATGGAATGCATGTTTGCTTTTTTAACACCCTTCCATTTTACTAGTAAAGCAGGAGAGGACCAAGGGACTGTTCTGTAGCAAACAAACAGAGCTTTGGAGAATCTTGAGAAGAAAAATCTGCGTATAAAATGGGAATATAAAAAACAGGAAAGAATGTTCGTATTTTTAAAGAAACAAACCCTCAGATTCTTATTGCACAGTACAATCTCTCTACAGACTATAAATACAGCTAAGGGCTAGCCCTACTTTATAAGCTAAGGCTTTTTTATTGGAAATGGCAGTTGATAATAAGAACTACAAACCTTTTTCACCTCTTTACCCACTTACCTTCAGTAAAATATCTGCTAGGGATCCTATAACATGCAAAGCTCCATCTTTTTTCCTTGGATCAATGTTTGGCTCTGTCAGAATCTGGTAGCAATATGCCATCATTTTTGGTAATACCTATGCAGGACAGAAAACACACAATCTCCTTTTGTCAAATTATTTTAATAGCATCGATTAAATTAAAAAATTCATATGACATTTTTAAGTAGAAATTTTATCTTGGCCAAAGCAACTGTGAGATACTATGTGTAGCATCTTTACATAGTTAAAATTTAGAAGGTCCCTCTTCCAACTTTTCAGACAAACTTGTCAAAATTAAATTGATCTCGAAATTTCACAACAGTAATAGTAAATAAGGTATTTTTGTTGTCTTGAGGCAAATCAAAAAAGGTGATAAAAGGGCAAGAGGCTCAAACAGTACCTCACCCATTTTTTTCCCTTAACTTCTCTTCTGGCTTGTCTCACATATATAAATACATACATGTGTGTGCACATATGTATGAACATATACATATTCAAGCACAGCTTGCACTAAAACCTCATAAACTTATTTTAATCTATTGATTTTGGCAGTAACTACTAAAGTTGCCTAGACTTAGAAAGGTTTCTTGGCAAAACCAATTGTTTAATGTCATTTCCACACCCATTATGTGCTTTTCAGACATTATGACATTTTGACGTTCTCAGTACAAATGATGAAAATGAGAAGGTCAGTGGGCAAGGACTGTTTTGACAATAAAGAAGTAGAAAGGTCATAGGCTATTCCACCTGACATAAAGACTATGCCCTTCTCTGAAAATCCATCTGGAAATGGAGCTCCATTTTTACTGGATGTTAAAATGGTACCCAGAAAAAAGTTTGCGTTTTTAGCAAACTGACATATGCTTTCCAGGGCTTGGCCGGGTACTTTTGCACAGATCACTGTAAGTACAGAAAGATCTACAGAAAGTTATGTCCTCATTTAAAGAGCAGCTGTATGAAATCGGTTTCATTCTTGCCAATTTCATCGCTGTCAACAGGATTTTAAATAGCATCAGTGAAAATTAATAAGGATCAGGTTCACTTTTCCCCCTGCTACAGTCTGGGAAGCTCACAACAGCCGTGACAGAGGCTGTTTGTAAACTTGGGAAAATACCAGTACATCTATTCCAAGTCAGTTCGTTATCCGGCAGGTTAATTTTAAAGCTGTAAGAGGAATCCACTTTATTTATTTATTTATTTATTTATTTATTTAGACACGCTTATTTTCATTCTCCCAAAATTGATAGCACTCAGCCAGGAAAGCATTTGACTATGTATTAGCAAATGGATTTTTCAAGACTAGCTTCCTGTAGCATCTTCAAATTTAAGGGAAAACGACATTATTTAGGAAACTCAGATAATTAAAAACTGCTAGTTCCATACCTCTTTTCTCTTCTTCGCAGCAGTATAAAGGAGATTCTGTGCTGCTGTTGTAGTGGATGCATAATCCTCAAATACATCTAACAAATTTAAAAAAAAAAGAGGCAAAAAAAAATTTCCTTTTCTGATTGACATAATAATAACATTTTTATAAACCATCTTGTTTGTGGGATATCACAAAATCTTCCAAACTATTGGTACGGCTGTCTTCACTTCATGGTTAAAGAGTCAGACCCAAGCTTATGTCACATAGTTTATGAAAGCATTTACTTCTTGCCTGACTACTGACCAATCTACTGACCACTCATCATTCCCTTTATTAGGAATGCGTTATTTATTCATTAATTCTTTTGAGACCATGTATTTAAGGGATGAAAAATCCTAGCTTTTTTTAAATTAAAACCACTATAGGAAGAACAACAATACATTCCAGTACCATCTGTATACCATATGTACACATTTTTGGCTTGATTTTATTAAAACCTCATGGGAAACTTTTTGTATGTAAAAACTACTTGGATCTGGGTTAGTTTTAAATCTGCTGAAAGTTGAAGCTTTTTAGCTTCATTCATTACAAGTAAACCTCCTTTCATATTGAAAATATAATTTATATCTTGGAAAAAAAAATCTGTGCTGCCAAACATATTCTAATCCAAACATCCCTACACAAATTGAATTAAATAAAAAGATCTAAAAAGGTAATCTTAAAATGTGGTTAAAATTACACACTAACTTTTCCTGAGAACTTGAAGATAAAACATGATTAAAAAATACTACCAGACTACCGGAATTCTTGTTCCAAACCCAAATGTGCCTCACTAAGCTTCAATTTAATGTACCTTCATGCTTGGTTTTTTTTCTACCTTCCACTATACAATTCAGATTTGTATTTATCTCTCTCAGCTACATATAAAAATAGGATTCACTACTTACACAAGAAATTGTAAGGAATTCATATACCAAAAGTCAGCAACATATTTGTACCCCAGTGATCAACACTATATCGTGATTAATTTTTTGCATAACAACTCTCCAAGTTTTTTTAATTATTCTATGAATATTTAAATTCTGTTTTCACATATGCTAATCCCAAATCAACTAATTAAAAATTTCCAAATGCTACATATCTCTGTGGTGCTGGACTTCACTGGAGTTTTTCAGCTAAATTTGCTGTATTTTTAAAGTACCCTTCTCTTTTTCAATTACATGACTCTCTTATTAAAAGTAGTTATTCCTAATATGGTCCTATGTGATATTCCCAAGATTTTGCACTGCATCTTTTGAAAGAATACATATATCTAATTATCTTACAATTTAGTAATAATAATTGGCAAAAAAATGCTGAAGACATTAACAATTTCAATAG